TTTTTTAGTGATCACAATCAAATGTAAGAAAAATCCTGGACTGTAAGTTCAAGTATATGTGGTTCTAATTCAAAATAGTAATAAGAAAAAAATAGGAATGACACAGAATTTCCCTAAACAAAATAATATGCTTTAGACAGTATTTGTTGTTTGCATAGTATTGTTTTCAAGTTAGTTTTTCAGATTACCAGATGTGTGCAGGCAGAATTAGAGAAAAGAAAAACTTCAAGAAATTAGGAAGAGAGAGAAAAAGCACAAAAACGAAAAAGACAAAAAGAAAGAAAAGGGGCTGGGAGATGGCTCAGTAGAATAAGCGCTCGCCTGGCAAGCACAAGGGCCCGAGTTCAATCCCCGGTTCTGCCAAAAAGAAAGAAAGAAAATAAGCGTTAGCTGCTCCTTTCCACAGCCCAGCAGGAATTGTGTTCAGTTCTTGTGCCAATAGGCAGTGTTGTCCCCGTAAATGACACGTTCTTGTGTAAGTTGACGTTACTGGACTCGAGCGTGCTTGAAGCCGACTCCGTGACATTCTTCTGTGAGTGCTGTGTTCCGCTTGTTGCGGTATTAACACTCCAAGCACACGCTGTGGCACAGCAGCCCTGCATCGTCACTCTGTGGTCATGAGCGTCAAATGAATACATGGGAATGAAGGCTCATTTTTTCAAATGGGTGAGAGACGGCTCAGCATTTGATTGTGCAGGAGAATCACTCTGACCACATCTGACCGAGTGAAAGTGCACTGCGATAGTGCTGACGAGGGCACTGGGGACATTCCTAAGAGCTTTCCTGTCTTGGCCTCCATGCTGTCTGTCTCTGTCTCTCTGTCTCTCTCTCCGTCTTTGTGCACACACCGACATCCGCACGCAGGCACGGCTTTGTGTGCGTATACCTGTATTGCTAAGAGGGAGAGCAACGGAAGAAGGGGGATAGATTCAAGTCTGACTCGGAATCAGACGGTGGGTGCTGCTCCCAGCTTGGCTAGTGTGCGTGACAGACAGTGAGGGATTGTTAAGGGTGCTTCCTAGGTGTTGACTTTCCTGGCCAGATGTGTGCGTCATCTGCTGACCCGGAGTAGGAACTCAGCAAAGGGCAGCACACGGTGGACAGTGCTAATTTGGCCTTAAATTAAGCATGTTGAATCGGAGATGTCCTGAAGACCTCCAGAAGTCGTTGAGGCTGGGAGGACTGAGGATGAGTAGTAGCCAAAGCTGTAGGCTCAGTGAGTGTTCGCTTTTCTGAGGATGGGTCTGGAAAAACCAGTGAGCATCAGCAGCGCGAGTTGGGAAGCAGAGGCCGTAGGAGCTTGTTCATGGCTGAGAAGGGCTGAGTGGCCTGTGGCCTGTGGCCTGTGGCCTGGGCTGGACACCCTGACTTCTCTCCCTTCAATTCACTTCAGTGTCTACCGTGTGCGAAGCGTTTCTGTGCTCACAAATGGAAAAATACTCGGATGTGTCTGAAGGAGTTAATAGTTCGGTATAGAAAACAGCCAAGTGGACAGGAAGTGTAATTTAGGGGGTAACATCCTAAGTGTAAGAAATACCACGGGATGGAGTCGAAGGAGATCATTCATTCTGGGGGCCTAATTAAAGAGGACTATTTGAAAGTAGTAGTGCACGAAATCTGTACATTATTACTAAAATAATAATGGTTTCTTTTTCTTTTTTTTTTTAATAGACCAAGAATGCTCTTCAAGCTTTGATTGATAAGCACCAAAGAATACCAGGCAACATTATGAGTGCTTTGTTAGAACGTTTTCATAAAGCAGAAAAGGTCAATTAGAAGGTGATTTAGTATTATCCATTGATATGTTTGTGGCTGTGGTACTGTCTTTTGAATTTTATAGGTCTTATAATTAGTATTTTTTTAAAAATCATGTTAATAAGCATCTTTCCTAGAATTTATTTAAATTTATATTGTCCATTTTGTTTTGCACTCAGTTGAGTCGGATTTGATCAGTAACTTGTTACATGCCTAATAATTCAGAAAATGATCCTATTTCATTTGTAAATTCTCGGTAATGTATGATAAACATAGATTCCTAAAATTAAGTTTTTTAATAATAACAGTATAGTTTAGGCAAACACTCCTGGATAATGTCTCTGGTGTCCGTATCTGTTGGACAGAGCTAATTTCTAGAGAGAGAGAAGCTGGGGCTTAGCGTAGTTGATGAGTTAGCAGAGAATGCTGTTACTTGCCTTTCTTTCCCTTTACAGCTTTGAGAGCATCATGTAATGTTTTTGTGCCTCCTTAATTTGCTTCTTAAACTCATCCTATTGTGAGGGTTTTTTATTGCTTTGCTCTTTCTCTGAGGCAGGGTCTTGTTGAGTCGCTGCCTGCCAGGCTAGGCTCGGGCTTGCCTCTCTGCTGCCTCCATGCCCAGAGTGCTGGGTCGCAGGTGGGCGCCACCATTCCTGCCTAGAATGTTGCTTACCTGGTTTGTAGTTACTTCAGTTGACAATTGTCGAGCCAGAATTGTAACTGAATGATTAAATAATGCCCAGATCCTCTAGAGGATGCATATAGTTTATCCATCAGATGTTCAAATTATTCCCATAGTGTGATGTCCAGTTGCCAAGCACAATGCAAGAGATGTACTGTTTTTCAAACCAAATAAAAAGAATTAGGTAGATTACAATTTCTAATTGTTATTTTTATAATTTATTATATTTTTAACAAGAACCTTTAAACAAGCAATATAGGATGGATTGTCGGCCCTGTGATACAACATTTAGTAGCTCAAGAATAAAAATCACGGTTGCGCTCTGCCTTGTGTGCTAGGAGCTGACGCTAGGTTGCCGGAAGCGGAGCTGCAGGAGGCTGTGCCCCGCACGGCGCTGTGGCTCCTTCTGTCTGACTCTGAAACCAGCCAGGGGCACTTGTTTTAAAAAATCTTACTTGAACAATGAACTTGTGTGAATACAAAGCCTTCAGAAGCTTACTGGCTTTTGAATTTTCTCCTGGAAAATTAATTTTAAAAAGTATTTAATTCCAAAAGTATCAGAAATCAAATACAGTATCTCTCCTTTTTAGATGTTTAAAGTACTTGGGTTTTATATAGATTTTTGTATTACAAATGTAAATTAAGTGTAATGTGTATAAAATTAAACAATAAAAATAAAATTGAATTCATTTTCTTGTGAAATTGTATATTTATTTTCTTATCATTTTAAACTTTTGTTTTACCCTACAGATCGTCTCTTAGCCATAATGAATAAATCTTACTTTTCAGCGTAATAAATGCACTTCAGTGAAAAGAGCCATCTTGCAACCTTTGTCTCCGTCAGCGTGAACACTGTTGGGTTCTGAGTGGGTGGGTCAGTGTGTGAGTAATGATAGAGAATGAAGGAGAGGACTTGGGGAAGTACTTGGGCTTTAAACACTGATGAAAGAACCACACTGCTTGGTCATACAGCGAAAGCTCTTTCGAGAGTATGTGAAATTTACTGCTGTACTTAAAACCCTGATACACAAATAGGTGTGTTTCCTGCATATTGTGATAAGTACTTTCTCTTTGTTTTTTGAGCTTAAATCACACTGGAAGAATGAGAACATGACTCAGTATAGAAATCCAAGTAGTAATGGGCAGGGTGTACTGGGGCTTGACCCCTTCTAGGAGTGCGGGCTGGAAGCATAAAGGCGCGCTGCAGGAACGTGGGCGTGGCTCGCCCTAGGGGAAGTTCTTCGTAGACCTTCAAGAAACCTTTCTCGCACCACAGTTCCGTGGACTTCCGCTCGGATTCCCCAGTCGTTAACCTGCTTCTTGTGGTCTGTTTTCTCTTCTTTCCCTCTCTCCACATATGCAGCTTTTCTCGTCTCAGTCCCCTTGATAGTAAGTTGCAAATACTCTGCCCCTAACAGTACCTTGGCTGAGAAGTCATCTGTCAGAGAAACAGAGCAGTGACCCAAACCGGGAACTTTATCGCTTGTTCATTATTATGTAATCTACCATATTTACATTCCCCCAGTTGTGCCAGTACCTTTCAGTTTCAGCATCCAGTGGAAACAAGTGTCGCAGAAATTTGAGTTTGATTTTCTGAACCCTAAGTAACAGATTTGTTTTCCCTTTCACACATACACTTTGAATACAAGGTTTTTATCTTGTAGTTAAGGCTTACGCTACACTTTAAGTTTCTAACCACAAGACTGAAGCTTATTTCCCGTTTGATGAAATAAAGTAAGTTTGTAGAAGTGGGACATACTTTTTTTTTTCTTTTTGTGGTACCGGGGATTGAACTTGGGACTCTGCACTTGCCAGGCAAGCACTTATTCTACTGAGTTATCTCCCTGGCCCTCCTTTTAAAATGCATATAATATCAATTTTACCATTCTGATGCCTTTTAAGTATACTGTTTACTGGCATTAACTACTGAAACCCCTGTGGAGGGCCTTAGCCTCCCAACTGGTGATACCATACAGGATGCAAAAGAAAAAGTTCTGCAGTTGAGCTCTGAGATGACCCAGTGCTCTCTAGAACAAAGGGCTACAGGTCCAAGAACCCCTGGCTTTCACTGGTGCCCAGCAGTGAGCTGGGTGGGCCTGAGAGAGTGCCAAGGAGAAGCCTGCAGGCATGGCTGTAAGAAGCAGTGCTTCTGCACCAGGCACAGGGGTCTCTGACTCGCAGTGCAGTGGGTCACTTGCTGCACACGAGGCTGGTGCCTTCGCGGCCCGGAGGGTGTGCTCCCCTTTGAGTCCCATGGCCCCCGCTGGGCAGTTTTCTCCTGTCTTACCCAGGAACCTCCCAGCCTCTTGCTTAAGCCCCTGTTCTAGCCGTCGGCAGTGGGGGCAGTTTTTGCCCACATGTTACAGACACATCCTTGTCTTGGTCCTCTGGATCACTTTTTTTTTTTTTTCCAATAATTTTACTGAGAAACAAATAGCAATGAGACAGTTTCAAATCTGATCAGTAGGACAGTTTCAACAATTAATACATTGCATATTGTTGTCTTAGCGGTTATTCATTGTACAAGATGCAGATATGATGTCCTCTTTACAAGCACTATTAGTACAAATCTCGTTAAATTAAGAGAAGCTATATATCCTATTTTGAATATGAAGATACAATATGGTTGTTCATTTGTATCCCCATTTTTTGTTTAGTTTTGTCAGAGAAGGATATTCCATTGTCATTTAAATATTAGAGGTGCATGAATTCAGCAAAATATTCCAATATAGTCCAGTAGTCCCTAAGTTATCTGTAGGACTGGCATTGTCAGATGTTGTTGACTTGAGCCTTTTACAGCTCAGCATATTAATATGGTTTTACTTTTTATATTCGTTTTTATATTTTTCTGCTGGATGGTTAAGACCAAGATAAAGCAAGACCTATATAACAAGAAATGTAGCTTTTGTATCTGACAAGGTCAGTCAAATCCCCTCAGGATTTACCCTGAAACCCTGTACCGCAGTTTGTAGATCCTTTGTCAGTGTCAGCCATGTGGATGAGTCACAGCCATTGCCTGACCAATTTGCTCTCTGTGAAAGCCTGAGACTGTTTTTTCTCCATATGACTCTCCTTAGGCACACTATACGTCATCGTGGACCACATTTTTTAGCCAATTAAGGGAACATCTGTTCCTGCATAGCCAGCTCTCATATCTCCGGCAATAGCCTTGAAGTAGAGGTCAGGTAAAGATGGAGTCAAGGGGCTTCATTTCTCAGGAAACAGCTTGGTGGTCTCCCTCAAGTGTGGGACCACCATCACTAATCTCTTTCCAGAGTTTTTTCCTAATCTCAGAGGTGGTAGCAGAGGTAGGAGGAAGACTCAGCGCTACCCAAGAGGTGGAGGTTTACTTACTCTTGCACAAGTGCCCCCAGTACAGATAATTCATTTAGCGACCTACTGCTTTAACAACTGTTGGGACTCCAAGCCTGGATGTGGATTTAAGACCCAACATGAGTGGCAGTGTGGCCTTCCAGTGGCTTCTACAGCACTGTAAGTTTTGCTGATTGAACTGTATAGTGCTGTAGTTTTTACACTACGTTTTTATTTAAGGAATTTTCCCTGTGCTTCCTTGAATATTCTCTGAGATCACCTTGATGAGGGAGTCTGTCCCAAGATAGCCTAGAAGAACCGATGCTTCATCCAGCCATCCTGTCTGCCTACAATTCTTTTTCTCCATTTGAATTATGAACAAACATGACAGCTTCAAAACTCCTGGGATCTTAGATCTGAATTTCTTCCAGCAATTTAGAACTAGTTTTATGTTGTTACACATTGCAGTACTGCATGTGAGAGTTATGCCAGTAAGCCAAATTCATCAAGTTGGAGTTTCTTTTGACCCTTTCCTTGTTCTGATGGTGTAATGTCTATACTGTGTATAGTTCTTCATTTAATGAGATTTATTTAACACTCTAGTTGCAGGAACTCAGTTGTTTAATAAGGAATGCCACAGCTGCATGAGACCACCCATAGCTCCTCCAGGAGACTTGACATAGACACAGCGCACGAACTTCACAGAATGTTGGCCTAATTGTGGCGTTTGCATACATGGTAAAAACAGGTTGATCATGTCCATCCCAATTTCCCTTTTGCCCTATCCCCCATCTCGTCCTATCGTCTGATACCTTCCTGGAGACACCGGCTGTGGCTGCAGCAAGCTTGAGTGTGGGTCCATTCCTGGTGATTCTGTTCCCATGGCCATCTTGGGAGGGCTCCACCCCTCTACAGCCATCCTCAAGCAGTCCTGGAGAAGGCCTGGCTCTACCACGGCTGAGCAGAGAGCCTGGCGCTCCGCATGGAGAAGTGCAGCCTTTTCTATATAAGGAGCCTCTCCAGAGCTTTAGAGGGTCAGTCCGTACGTGGCTCCCCTTACATTACAGCATTAAGTCCAGCAGAGTGTCTTGGAAGGTGTATTTTTCCAATTCATTATTTCTCTCTTGAGCTCATATGCTAAGAGCCGGT